AGAATCATCGTCGAAACGTCGCAAGTTATTTATTAAAGTAATTGTTATCCATATAATTGTGTTCGTGTTAATATCATCAATTACTAAATGCCACTCAAGGAAGTTATTTTAATATGCTTTTTTGATGGAATGTAGGATATTGATTGAAGGTGTTTTTAGTGTATGAAATGTAGGGAATTTATGAAATGTAGGGAATTTAGGTCTTTTTAGTGTAAGAATTTATGAAATGTAGGATGTTTAGGTCTTTATGGGATCTTTCATTTTGGTCGCATTTTCCCCATGAAATGAAATGGAATGGGGGTTCCCCTTATGCGACCAAATTGAAAGCTCTAGTACTACTTGAAGTATATCAATCATACAATTATGCGTTACATATGGGACACGATTTGGGTTGTCTTTAGTATGTTCTTATACAAGATGTATAACTATAAAAACTTTGTGTTAAATAAAACCAATTTCTTTTCAATTTTCTAATAGTTAAAGGGAATTGTTTTATTGAGATGCTTAATGCATGGGTGGCACTCTTTCCACTGATACATTACAAATCCAAAATCTGTTAAATATTTCTTCAATATTTATACCAAATCGATGTGGTTTCCACTCTTTAATATCCTCTTATTGGCGATATCTAACATAGATGGTTCAATACAATATTTCAAATTTTTAAGATGATATCACATCCTACCAGTGTTTTGGAATTCCTCTATTATGTTACCCTGTGTGCATTAGACAATGACTGTGATTGTATTTTAACAATATTTTGGGATGTTTTGTAAAATATATTAGACAACCCAAGACAAATAGTGCGTTCAGACGATTTAACTAAGTCAGCTTAACTGACAACCGTTCTTCGAACCTGGTTAGTGACGCGCAGAAATGACATGTCCGGCTTAATTTTAGCCAGTTGCGTTCAGACGGCCAAACTAGGCTGGGTTAAACTTTCGAGCCAGGTTCTAAGCCACCTCCGAAGTAGGTGCAAGTTCAGGAAGATTTAGTTTAACCGGTCGCGTTCAGACGACGTAAAAACAGGTTCGAGGAACGTTTGATAGTTAAGCTGCCTTAACTTTAGTCGTCTGATCGCAATGAAAATAAATGGTGTATTAGTGTATCTCATCCGATTAATATGTAATTTATGGATTACGTTATTATGAAATCGATGTAATTATAAATTTCTTGCCGGACGAATATGGGACAAGTCGTGAATTT